GGTGGGGGTAAAGGTATAGGTGGCACGCTGACGAATGCTTGTTTTTTTGTAAATGGACGTCGTTGCTCTGTCTGCTTTCCGTAAAGCAATTCATTCTTGACATTTTTGTCCGTATACCGGCAAACGGCGTGAATTTGGCGGGATAGACACATTTTTCGTCAAATAAAATGAATGACGGAGCAATGGGAGATATACTGAGGGAGGCCTTCTTTGTTTTCCTACGACTCGAGTCCTTGGTAGCATTTTTTTGGTCGGATTTTGAAATGTATTAGATACAGTTGTACGCATAATTTTCTCAATAGACTTATCAATATTCATGTCTACGTTTTCTGCCATAGTATCACGACTATCCCTGTCTCCTTCCCATGATGCACCTTTTGAAGAGACCGACCAAATGTTCGGCAGGGTCGATTACATGCTCGTTTACATGTTTCGATGCGCTATCTGAGGATTTACCTACGAGATCACCAACGTTGCTTACGTGGCTTCGCTCGTGATGGGCCTCTTCTTCCTCTTCGTCCTGCAGCGGAAGTAGTTTGTCTCTCTTTTGGCGCTCTTTTTTCAAATGTTCTTTCCACTTGTTGCGTCGCGCACGAAATACAACAAAAATGTGGTTAATAGCTGGTGGGATAACACGCAAATCTTGCGACTTGCTCGTATTTTCATGGGACGAGAACACAACAACAGCTTGTTGCTGCATTTTCCGCGTCCTGTTATATTCTTTCTCTAAATCAGACACGCCAACCAAGGAACTGGATTGATTCACTAAGCCGCTAAAGTCTTTTCCAAAAAGATATCCCCCAGTTTGATGGACCTTGTTTGCCTTCTTGGGATGAATGGGGAGAAAGAAGACCAAGAGAGCCAACGTTCATTTTATTGACCTCATCATCTTCATCATCGCTCAATGCGTAACCATCTTTCGTTTTTATTTTGGACTTTATATCAAGCGATTGGTTCGCCAGTGGACGAATGTTGTACATGTATTTTTCACGAAGTTCAACATTTTGGGGTATAGAAACGGCGCCATATTATAGACCATCTATAAAAAATGCAAAAAAGGGAAGATAACTGTTAGGCCTTTGCTATCAATTAATTTTTGTATTAACTATACGGTATACATATCAGTTGCGATATGTGAATGTTTTGTACAATGAACATCAAAAACAGTACAGTTAGCTGAAAAACAGTCCTGCAGATTTAAAGAATGTACGTCAACCAAGTTGCAAAGTGCGCTTTTGTTTATGGTTCACATCGTTACCGATTTTTCGTGCTGATAGAAAACATTATAGATGCAGCACTAACTACACGTTTCTTTTCATTCAAAATTTGAAGTAAATAAGAAGTAAATTGACTGTGTGTCTGCTCTGCCATTCCAAGTCTTTTTGTCTTCACCACTACTTATAATAGTACATACATCCGTAAACGAATCTAGTGTAGTTGAGCATCAAGTTTCCGCCTTCCACGCTTAGGCCAAGACGTCATTTAAAGCACAAGTTTTTAAAATTACTTAAAAACTCTAATTTACAGCTGCTATTATTGTTGGTCTATGTTGCATCATTGAACTAAAATACATGGAACGCTACCTGTAATACAAAACCCTAATAATTTTTTGAAGTCGTTATTTTACCCCAGACGCGTGTGTAGTCAATAACTTATTACTCCGCGAGAGAAGCACGAAACACTACACACGCGTGTCTGGGGTAAAATTTCGCGTGTTTGATGTAAGATTTGGCTTCAATTATTTGCTTCAGGGAGCGATCCATTTATCTTAGTTCAATGTGTTGCATGGGCAGCAATAACAAAATCCGCCATTTTATCGAGCCACAAAATGGCCGTCACGCTGTGATTAACGCACAATGCATCTTGGTTGACAAACATTTTTTAAGGATGACGACTTTAACATTGAAAATGCTACAAAATATCAACCATAAAGTATTATAAGCTGGTCTCTGTATTATTAGCCGTTTTCAACAGCACAAAAGGGAATAATTGTTTTTCTAATTATACTCGCCTATACACTATATCAACGAGGAATTGGGTAGAGTAAGTTATGAAATAATTATTAGAATATTAATTCATTCGAATAAGAAAAGAATAAAATAACATAATCAAATAATTTCATTATGGTGCATCTTTGCATAAAAAGATTAAGGACGTCGTTTTCAAAGTCTATAAGCCGTGTTAGGAAGAAATTACAATGATACCAGAATTTTCAGAGTTGTTGGTTGGCACGAGTAACCTTTGTCAATTTGTTTTCAATCCAAACCAATAAATCAGGGGCCTTGCCGAACGAAAAAATGAAATGCATCCTCTACAAACCAAATTGAATTGATTTAAAATATAAAGCCAACGAAACAGCTTATTGTGCCATTACCAATCACAAACTAAAGAGGTGAGTTGCTATCTGGACGGGCTGTTAGAAAAGTTACCGCACATTTTGTAGATCAGAAAAAACAGCTACAGCCGACTTTGGAACTGATTATCAGAACTACCCAGAAATAGTAATAGAGAAAAATACAGGTTTGACTACTCGTGAAAACGTAATGTGATTTGCATGATCCGAATAAAAGATGCATTATGATACGAAATGTGCATCGTGTAAATTTGAAATGAGAACTAAACATATCTGACGACATATTCACTCGAGCTAACTGACACCTTGTTTTTTTCACTCAGCAAGAAAAAAGAAACGCCAGTTTGCTCTTCGCTGAAACAGTCCGTCTTGGAATGCTATTAGGCGAACAAAAACAGGTCGTTAAAATGCTCTCAGCTCGTTCAAGATTACGTCAAATGTTTGAAGAGGCGCGACAGGTATTTCGCCGTTTCTAACTGAGTCCGTGAACGAGCCACCAGTCAACCATTGGGACGGACTGGAGAGTAGGGCTCACTCCAATTGTATAAAAACCTTCTTTTATGAACAGTGGGAGTTATTAATAATTGACTTTTACTTTACTTTCACCACAAAAAAACACCGGAAATAACATTGACGAGCCCTACATTTTAAATTTCTTTTAAGAGCATGGCTCCGTTGCAATTCCACAAACCTTTTAACATTCTCACCTCCCCCCCCCCAACAACAGATGTTAGCAACAAGAAGCTGCCATCTGTTATTCAATATTTTGGGATCGTATTGACACAATAAGCATTACCAAGTCAACATTTTCCGTAAGACTTCACACATCTTCACGTTCTATGACAGTCAAAATTCAGTAACGTTGAATTGATTTGCACTTTCAATGATCTGTTTCAAAAACTAGTTCAAACAGTTTGATTTTAAATGTTTTTTTAACTTTTTCAATCGATGGCAAAAAGAGTTTCGTAGTAACAAAGAACACTATCTTTCTGTTGATATCTCTAGAGTTATCATGTAACATGGAATTGTGATCTAGATGGAGTGTATCTGTATGCTTTCTTTGAAAACCAAGAAAGTGGGTCGTTTCTATCAATAAAACGATTTAACGTTTCATTTATGATCGCTTTTCGAATGTTACCAGCAGATACCGTAAAATTTTCTGATCACGTTCAGACGCGCACCAGCTTTTTCTCAGTTTAATATAAAACAAATTCCGAAGAAGCAAGACATCTTGAGATTGCAAAATATGAATCAAAACAAGACGAGAAGTAAACTGTAAATTTTCGACTTTATTTCAAAGTCATCCTCAGACATAATGAGACAGACCTTACTTCTTTACTACCGACCATTATACTTCTTTAAATTGTCGGCTGGTCATGGTTTTTACTCAGTTTGTGATGCATATTGTTGGTTTTTTTATGAAAGTCTGGAATCATTTTCTTGAGAATTTTTTAAACAACTGAATTATCGCCATGGTATTATCACTATAATACTTTTATGGGAAGAGTTTAACAAATTTAACAATTCAAAACAATATTCGGTTTCGGTATTTACTGTTATCAATAAGGTAACAATACAGGTAACATGCATTAAAGGTATCATGCATTCACTTTCAAAAAATTCTGCCAGGCGCAAAAGAAAAGAATGTACGAATTAACGTTCTCATTATGCCCCTGACTGATAGTCATATTGACGTACTTCATGTATGGCCAAAGTTTCTGAGAGAGATACTTTTGCTTGTATATTTACCGTGTGCTGCTCTATGATTGGAGATCCGCCATTTTCGGTTGTCTTGAATGGCCAACAAGGCTCGAAAAGCGTTACCCTAAACTCATTCTATAAAACAAGATTTCCGATGGGTGGCTTACGAAACGAGATCAACCGAATATTTACTTTTAGGCATTACAAACTTATTTTTGAATCCATACAATTTTTGCGTATTTGCAAGAGAAACAATTACTGCCACGTCAAAAAATTAAACGATTTCCGCGAAGGATTCTTATAAAATAAGATGCCGCCAGTGTTTTTATAACGCGGTAGAGTCGTCAATGTTCTTTGAAGTTATTTCAGAGTGACGAAGTTAAGTACGACTGTATATTACGTAAATCGATCTATAATATGTACATATATTAAATAAATGATCTATTGTGCTTTTGCCTGTTGTTCAATCTAGTTCACGACGCCCATAATTTGTAGAGGCAAAGTATATAATTGCACCGTAGTGATAATTGTAACAAAAATAAGTAAAATATAAAAATCGAGCGTTACTAAAAATGCTACAGAATGCTCAACATAACACATACTCTAAATTTCTACGCACTTATCGTCTTCTTCAAGCCGAATTACTGTGGTGTGCAGTTATTGGGGTCGTGCTTTGGAAAATTCGGACCTATCTTTTCTTGTGAACCAAACCCTCGTGCTGGTCTAGAAACAGGGTTGTTGGATCGCAAAGCTGATCTGTCTTTTGCGATAGCCTGTATCCCATCTGATCTATTGTGGTCTACCCGTGGCTCCAACGCGATCATTTTATTGTTTGTTTTCATTCGACTGGGAAGCGGCCCGGCTAATTTTGATCCCGCCTTCAAAAACGATTCCGTTGGTCGGAAAACAGATTTTTCCCCCGAATAGAGAAACAGCTTTCCTTGTAACGAATTTTCATTTTCATTCCATTTTTGTTGTTTGAAGTTATCAGAATTCATTTCACGCGACTTTGTTGACGTTTGACTGGCTACAATAAAATAATCTTTCTCGCTTTTTTACGCTTCATTTGCCCTAAGGCGGGTTGCTGTCCATTATCCGTCGCAACGTCAATACTCGACTCATGTTTAGCTTCTACATCAACCTTTTCTGGCTTTTGGATATTTTCAGCCATCATAACTTTCAAAAGTTTACACTCGATCTCGTGATTCTTTTTCCTGAATGAAGGTAAGACAAATTGAAAAACTTTGTTGTGTCCGACAAACAATTTTAACATCCCGCACAAAGATATGGGTCAGTGATAAATATATGTTAAATACACATAACCAAATACCAAAAATTGGAAAGTAGTCTTGGGTAACTGGCTTATGAACGGTATCAAACTTTGCAAGGGAGAGATGCAAGGTGAGAATTAATTCCAGCTTTTTAGTACGGATACTTTATCAAAGTTTTGACTCTATATGTCACAATTCTGACAACGACCTTGGCGCAAGGCATAAAATTAACTGGAAGTTTTGTAACGGAACACAAAACATGACATAGAGAATCCGTGTTTGGTCATGTGACCTGTATCCAAAACAAAGAAATGAACGCTCTACAAATCTGCCGCGTTGAAAAGCGGTATGTAACTTTCTTGGCAACATAAGAGAAACAATTTTCGTACGGACTAAAAGGCCGATGATGTCGTACCCAAACCCTCATGTCTAACTATCGAGTCAAGGTGAGACCAGCATGAACAGTGGGAAAAAACGAGACTCTGATTAAAATTAAGTTAAAACAGCGTAGACTATCACCTCTGCAACTCAGTGAATTAGCTAGATCGATAAGCGAGAGAGTCATGATTCGTACATGCATGTTTTGTTGCATCAACTTTCCATTGAAATCAACTTTTTCGTGGGGAATAAAACATACAGGCGTAAAAATCAGTTTTAGACAAATCCCAACGGTGAATCCACTCGGGAGCTTATGCTGTACATTGCTATTTCACGTACTGTTAAATAAAAACGTGTAATGTCATGAAAAATTAAAAAAAGAGTATTTTGCAAACGATGTCAATGTGTTTGATCAATAAAATCATCGTAACTAACAGTAAAACATTTAAAACGTGTATTCACTTACTTCACATTGGCATTCTCATTCGTCAAACTCTCCACTTTCTTTTGTGCGTTGGCCAATTCAGCCTCGATCTTTTTCTTTTCAGCATTCATTCTTTCCAGTCGAGCGCTTAGTGAAAATACAGCGACGCTGCCCACAACACCCACGGGCTCACCGTTGGATGAACTAGAAAACAAAAAATGGGGGAAAACTTTTGGGATTCGATTTGGAAATGGAGCAAAAAATAGAGCATTTGAGAAAGATTTCAATATGAAACTGTGTAAAAATGTGGCTCACATAATGTTTATTTGCGTTTTGCTGGCAGAAGGGCTGTGCAAACTACGGTTTTTCATCTCCGGCTCCGGCCTCTTGTCAAATCTGAACTCGTCGAATCTCGAATCACTGGTTGGTGACTAGTTAATTTTGCAAGTCACTGTTCAACAGTTTAAAGTGCTTATGCATCGAGTTTTGACCCCCTAACTTTTTTGGCCAAATAAAAAGAAGTAACCTCACATTATATTTGAAAGCAAAAATAAAATTGAACTTTTCTATCCAAAGTCATGATCGTCAAAAGTTGTCATTTTTGAAACTTGCTGTGCGAACTTTTAAAATGCCATTTTATTAACTTGTGACGTCATAAGTGAAACACACTTCTATCATGGCGTGTAGAATTTATTGTAAAATCTCCATCGAGAATAATAACCTTCTCCTGGCGGATAAAACTAGTCGAATTTCACCAATTCTGTGAGAAATGAAAATTAAGATCTTTGTATATATTTCCTAAAGAAGAATAGACTCTCAAAGGCAAAGAATAGGTTGATTTTGTTCGACAACGTTTCATCCCTTCGTAGATATTTTTGTTCAGCGTATTTTGATGAGTCGTGTTTAGATCTATGTAAATGTTTGTTGGGCAAAGAAGCTCGAAACGAAAAGAATAAATATTTGATTCCTACAGTCAAATTGGTTGGAATCGGTCATAGCGAAAATGGGAAATTGACTTAGCTGGACTACGACGGGTTGGACTTGAATTCACAAGTATTTTAATAACAGAATTACAATTATTGTGGCAGAGAAGTCAAAAAATGAAGTCCTTTAACAAAATATGTGCTGGTTGAATATAATCAAAGCATCATTTTAAATTTTAGCTACCATGAGGAGATCAGTATGAACTATGAAATATTGTATGCATGGATAAAAACAAGTCTGAAAGTTTTCTTGATACATTGCCCATGAAAACGTTTTGAGGAATATTCTGGGTAATGAGTTTCTCTGTAACTTTGTTTGATATCAAAACAAACATTGTAATCATTAATATTTGAAGTAAATGAGTAGCACGCAAACTAAAGCAAAACTACTTTAAGCATATCTTAGTTGTTATATATTATTTATGCAGTAGAGCTGTTTTTGTTGTAATAAGAAAACTAGAATGTAGAATAAATATGACTTATACACTCTCTTCAGATTAATCTTGGTTACTGATTAGTATTTGGTTATGTGGTGATTTAGTATAGATCTAGGGGTTTGTACAAATAAATAATTGAAATTAAAAATTTAAACAGTACTATTGGTAACTTATATTTTACAAATATATTACTATCAAAACAAGAACTATGGAAAGAGCCTTAGGCAGGCTACAGCTATGAGATAAATTTTACATCTTACAAATATTCTAGCCTAGTAATAACTTCAAGAGCCTGATTTATTTATCAGGATCGAGTTGAGAGGTACATAGTTTGTAAGAACAGTCATCATTATCTTTTAATAATGGCACTGTATTTTTTACACCTGTTCACATTGTATTAGTGAAATCTCCATGTTCTACATTATGTATGTAGTTCAGTATTTTTCTAGTTTCTGCTCTCTAATGTCATTGGATCACTTATGTGCTATTTCTGTGAAACTATTAAAAGCATCCCAACAAAGCCCAAAAACTCAAACAAGATCGAGTTCAATGCGATTTTCCTTTAAGCAGTTCCCATAAGAATGGTAAGATTAACAAGAAAAAAGACCAAAATAAATCGCATGGGTAAAGAATCATCATGCGATTCTTGACTTGCAATTCAGCCATGTTAGTGGTCTGATACAAAAGAATATTTTATCAGAGTTATTGTTGGCACCAGCCGGCGTGTGCGAGCAACATTGTTTGGCAAATCTCAAGAGAATGGTTGCAAGTCAAGGATATTTTAAATCTAGACTGCTTCCACAACGGAGAATGTCTTCGACAAAATATCATTTATAAAAGATTATATTACTAGCCATCTGTTTCTAAAAAACTTATTTTAGCATATTGTAAAAAATAATTGAGAAGCAATCATTTTCCAAGCATAAAAACAAAGAAAAACGAAGAAGAATGTGGCGTCGGCTATATAAATGTATAGTTGGTAAACAAAACGTGTTTCACTTATGACGTCATAACTTACTAACATGGCCACTTGAAAAGTTTGCACATTAGGTGCGTATTCAGCGGTAAAATTAACTAATTTCTACTCAACAGAAAATGCTTATTTATATGTCAAATTGATTCTAAAAGCGTGGATTTTTAGAGATAAAGAGAAAAAAAAGGGTCAAAATTCATTGCATTAACACTTGAAGGTATATTATTAGTAAAATTATTATAAGTAAATTTAAATTTCCGCTCTCCGACTTTAATTCATAAATTAGCATGTGTGAATGCAATTTAGCGTCATGTTGTGTTATGTATGAAATGTTTTATTTTCATGCATGTTTTTTATTTCAGCTGATAATTATCGTTTGTTGATACAAAAATGTTTTGATCAGACATGTTTACCAAAGTTTGACAGTATTTTCTAGCAGTGGCGGATCTAGGGTTAGTCAAAATAAATTACTGCTGCACATTTTGCAATATATTTATAATTCCAAGCCCCTCAGAGACAAGTCCATTGGTGAATATATATTCTTTAGAAATTCAAAACCAATAGTGCTTTTCTGAAAGTACTTTGAATTTAAAATTAAGCAGCTTCAATTTGCTTGCTATTGCTCGCTGTGACTACCCATAGATCCGCTACTGTTTTGCAGCACAAACAATTGTTGCCGGAGTTTGCCGGAGAAGAAAAAAATCTGGCTCTAGAAGGCAAAAATAGCCGGAGCTCCGGCCTAACTCCGGTGCACAGCACTAGCTGGCAGGTAGATTTATCCCAAGACAGGTTGACAATAGTTGGCTGGTGTTGTCTAAAAGCACTCACTTGACCAAGTCTTCATGCAAGCAAAACGTAAACAAGGCAAGTCATCAATCTATTAAAAGCTTGGAGCTGCATTATAAATGAGAGGGAAGGAAAAAACTCAAGTGGAAGTTTTTTTATCAAAATTTCCTTGTAGCATCCACGTTTTTTTTGACAACAGGTTCCAGACCCTTTTCCGCAACCGGTAATTTAATAGAACTCAAACGACCCGTCTCATATGAACAGGCCTTTAAAAGGTAGAAAAAAGAAGTGATCTCTTCATTTATCTAATAAATTAAAAAATCACCGGGAAGTTGATAAAATCATCTAAATGAATTTATAACAAACTAATTAAGCTCTATTCATTGATACAAGGGTTTATAATTTTGAGTTTACTAATGTAAAAAATCTTTTTAAATTCAAGCAAGTGTTGAGTATAATAGCATTCATTGGCAATTTTTCTAAAAATTTATGTACCCCCCCCCCACTCCTCGTATCAGCCTCATCCTCAAAGTATCTCCCACTTTATGGGAAGTAAAAAAATCCCGGGAGCAAAATAGAGCAAAAACGGTATGAATAAATGTGCGATAACTTACCTGGCTGGTTCACCGTGCATTAAATCAAAAGTAGATTCGTGATCGCGATTTTTTAGAGCCCTTATCTCAGCTTTGAGCTCACTGCTCTGTCTGGCAAACATACCAACGTCTTTTTCCAAAGCACGTATCTTTTTCACGGCGATGTCAAGATGCATCGTCTTTTCTCTATCGGCGTTCTGCAACTCCAACTCCCTTTCTTGAAACGATTTGTTAGTTTTGTCGAGCTCTCCGATTGCACGGCGATAACGTTCCGCATCGCTTTCCAAAGCGTCGATTTTCGCGCGCAGTATTTCAATCTCACTGGTTTTATCTACAGCGACGATCGTAGTTGCATGAATGCCGTCTTTGTTACCAAGCGAAGTCTTAAGTTCTTCGTGTTCATCTTGTAGATCACGGAACTCAAACTTCAAATCTTGTAATTCGTCTAAAAATTAGTCACATCATTAACAGAGTTTATAGCCAGCATAACAAATGAACGAGTTTCGTGAAAGTCTTTCATGAAGTTCATTTAATCTCGTTTATAAGTCTTCGTTTGAAACATGCGTAACATCTAGTGACGGAGCTAGTGTAAGTTAAATTAAATTATAGTTGGTCAATTTTGAATTGGATAAACCTTCTGAACAAAACAAATGGTTATGAGTTTCTAAAGATTATGAACAAAAACAATAAAACACGTGCGGCGATTGGTCTATAGCTGTGTTTACACTTTTCATTAGCCTGTGCAAACCGATTTGAGCTCAACCATCAAATCAATCAAGCAAAGAGAATTTCCAAATCGACCATGAATACATATTAGACGAAATATTAAACATTTCTTTTAAATTTGTTAATCTTGCATTATTGCTATTTCATAAAAGACACGAAAGAAATATTTCGTGTTTGCACTGGCTTATGCCAACCTCGGAGATATTGTGAGAACTCTCGAGTAGGTGCAAGCTTGCGCTGATCTGCTCTTGTGTTCTCCCAAAGGTCGCCTCGGTTTGAATGAGCTTGTGCAAACCTAGTAAACACATTTTATTTCTTAAATAAAATTTTACAAATTAAACTGCCTCTAACGTATTTGGAAATGGAAATACATTGTAATTTATTTCGAAAACTGGCAACACCAATATTTTTATGAGTTGCTCGTTGCATCATTTGTACCATCAGTAAAAGGAAGCGAAAAACCCTTGTGAACGAAATAATTATTGCACCGCAAGTAGCAAAATTTCAAAACACGTGTATCTATGTCTGAACAGACAATGGTTAAGTGTAATCTATTTGTTTTACGCAAAATCGAAGGAATTCAGGCAAACAGTTGTATTTTGTTTCCTTCGACGTTGGCAAAGCGGTTTTTCCTTTTCTTTTTGTTCAAATACGTCAACCGCCTCAAGTATGTTTATTTTCAAGAACTTCATTTGTCCAGGGATAAATTCTCGTATAATTATTCGTATAATAATATACTTTGAGATATTTCTCAACTGTGATTGGATGATGGCAGTGCAGTTTATCTGCAATTACACTGTTAAAATTTGTAATTGCACTGCTGAAAATCTCTAATTGCACTGTGAGTACTGTTTCCTGTTTGGCTGAAGAGCTGTGAAAGCCAAACATACTTCTTTTTGATTAAAAAGACATGGTGCAAGTTGTAAGTAAACAAGGCTATCCACATTGCAATCGTTTGAAATTCAAGAATTGCAAAAGAATGCAAAGAATAAAAACAAAACAGCAAGTACTGTTTTTTTTTGGTGAGCATTCCGTGCCTCTTTCGTAGACAAAATAAAATTAATGCTTAAACTCTTGACGTTGTCCTACAATATGCTGAAACACAATATGTTTTTGGATTATACCTTCGCATTCTCTTAAACACATATTTAGTTTGTAATTTTCTTTCTTTAGTTTGGAAATTATCTTAGACTGTTTGACAACTTCATTATTCAGCTCGGCGATTCTTGCATCTCCTTCGTCAATTTGCAGACGGTATTTTTCTTCAAGCTCTTCCTCACTATCTCGTTGCAGTTGAAGACATTTCGCCATCTAGTCGTCAACAGCAGTGACAGAGTTTTTTAACTGCATTTTAAGTTCTTTGGTCTCGTCTTCAAAAACTGCGCATTTCATCTTCAAATCTTGTATCACGTCTGCATGATGAACACAAAATTAATCGAATTAATTTTTTTCAACTCAAGAACATTCAGTAATTTACGTTTCTAGTTACGTAATTTGAATGCTTTGATGACGTAATTCTAACGCTTGAAGGACTGTATTTTGACTAATGAGATAAATAACCGCTGATGGAGCTTCAAACATATGAAAGTTGGGAAAAAATAAAAACAGAGACTTACCTTCGAATTCCTTTAAACCAGTGTTCAGTTTTTGATTTTCGTTGTTCAGTTTTATATTTTCGTTGTTCAGTTTTAGATTTTCGCAGTTCAGTTTTTCATTTTCTCGGCGTTTCTGTTCAAGTAGAGCAATCTCTTTTGTCAATTTCTCTTCACTGGCACGCAAATGTGCATTTTCACATATCACTTTTTCATAGTCGATGACATCAGATAACGAAAGACGACGTTTTTCATCACTGACTAAAGTTCAAAGAAACATAAAAGGACGTTTGATCTTTGACGCTTCAAGAAAGTCAATGCAGTCGACTAATGAAAAACTATGCAAAATGAAAATTCACATGGACTTCGCTGTGCGCATGCCTTATTATGTTGTTACCCCAAGGAAATGATAATTACGTTGCACATAAGATACTTTTACATAGCTTTCTCTACCATGCTTTTCCTTCAGGTTTCTAATGCCAATCACTATGTCAATCATTATATTTTTTGTAAAAGAGGAAAGGCGAAATTAAATTTCGACTTAAATTCAACGACATTCAAGTTTTGTACAAACTATGACATACAATCACGGCGGGTCATACCTTTTTGTTTAAAACAGGTTATTTGATCATTGGAATCAGCTATGATTTATTCATATTTTTTGATCAAGTCAGCATTTTCCGTTTCCAGTCGAGCAATAGCTTCGTCATTTGCGAGTATTTCTATCTCCTTCTTGTCCAAAACGAACTGCTTTTGCTCCAATACATCTCGATCAGCGATCAACGCTTGTCTTAACTCCTCCACAAGCTTTTCCTGAATAGACAAATATAAGCATGTCAGATGTATGTATCCACTCGTGTTTACCGAGGTAAAAGCCGAGATCTAGACAATGTTCTTCCATCGTCTCCTTTTAGATGTTAATATACTCATTGGCCGTTTTTTTGCTTAAAACTGTTAATAGACGTCAGGACAGATGATATGTACAGTTATGTAAACTGTCAAGAATGAAGACGTTTCGACTCGTCCTATGACCGTTTTTATCGTTCCGACAAGTTTAAGCCGCGCACCAAAGAAATCTGTCTTACGTCGTCCGTCTTAAGACGCATGATATTAACTGTTTTAAGCATAAAAACGGCCATTGATTTCTCTCGTGTTGTATGCACAGTTGACCGGATGTTAGTAGCATTTCTGCCAACGTAAAGATGAGATCTCAATGTATTGTTCCTGCTGGAAAACTCCTCTCCGCTTTCCAGTTGCTGGTTCAATAACACTGTGGAGACTGTATCTTTCAACAATTTTATTGGACATACTCACAACTCTCTAATTAATTACATGTATTTATACTGATTGCTTCGGGCAAACTTCACAGCACTCCATTCATTAGGAACTAAGCTTGTGGGTCTTAAGGAAATTATGAGTACATACTACACCTACCGGAACATACACCTAAAATATCTGCACGTAAATCTGTGCTTTTCAATGGTTTTAATTTACATATTTTCTCATCAAGTCACGCAATCTGAATCACCCCAACCCTATCTGTATTCACAAAGAATTCCTTAACAGTTCCTCTTTCAAAAAGGTAGCCCCCAGGCTCCCAGATGTTGTTTGGTAAAAGAAGATCCTGATTCCCGGAACCTGCGTTTTGTTGCACAGCACCCTTCGACATCTTGGTCTTCTTCGCAATTATATGCGCTGTGTCCAACCTTCATTACTCAGAGCAATTATTAAGCCCTCAATAACCGAGCGCGAAGTCTTTACGGAGAAATATTGGACCGAAGTTTTTTCGTACAGGCCAAGCACGTAGGGCGAGGTTTGTACAAAAAGACAGAAGTCCCATATTTCTCAGTTAAGACTGAAAAAGCGAGGTTATTAAAAGGTTTATTATATGGCATTATTTGACCTGAAATGAAGCCTGCTTTCTTTCTCGTCCTTGCTGCTTCTTACCGGTTGGCTTTCACTTTTCTAATTTTCGTGCATAAAAAATGAGTCGTTTCAAATTATATCGTCTGGATAGTTAAACTGTTTTCCAAGTGCTTTTCCTTCGAATCACATTCCTAAATATTTTTTTGTTTCGTTTATTTAGCGTTTTTCTATTTGCATTGCGAAGTTTGTTCAGATTTGACTGTAAAATTGCGCGTTTTGGACCATGGTCGATTACGGGAAAATAATGGACTGACAAAAATGCTTATGAGCCAATCAAAGCATGCATTTTGCCGGAAGTGACGCTTGCCATGTAATAATTGACCTTTTATTTCTTCATTTTTCTCTTTTTATCATCTGTTTCACCGGAACGTGTGCAAGAAGTGATCTGGTTTTCTGCGGGATACTTTAACATCGTACGGCAACAGACTAGACGGAATGTGAGCGTCATTATCAATATGCAATGTGAATATTCAAATCTCTTAAATTTATGCATTTTCGCAACTCGTAAAACATTATTTATTGTAAACTCAAACGAAATATTGATTGGACTAAGACTTTTTATCCACGTTAGAATGATATGAAATTTGAAGAATGCAGAAACAAGCATGCAGCGTGTGTATGTTGGACGTTGAAAAAATGAGAAATCTAAGTGCCTGTATTAAAGAGGAATAAATGCAATTCAATCAATCTTTGACTAACAGAGTTATAGCAGTTTCAAAAGCAAAAGGAGATCATACAAATATTTAGAATGATGTCAACTTGTTCTAAATCATATAAATTTAGTGCAAATACGTATTGCATGCCTTTATGTAGCTTTGGCAATGACAACGGGTTGAATACCAACCAAAGGTTGGACATTACCCACGACATACACAACGCAGACTTACAAACATTATGAAACGCTTCTGCACAGATATTGACATTCGACTAATTTTCAAATCATTCAAAATCGAAAACCTTTTCTCATTCACACCACTTTCATACAAAACCGGACTTATACGCACACTAATCGACAGAGCATACAAACTTAACAATACGAACAATGGCTTTCAACGAGACATAAAAAACATCACATCCACTCTTTTACGAAACTCTTTCCAACTTCACTTTATTAACAGAACCGTGAAACGATATCTCGACAACAAACATAGCCTCAACCGAGACACCGAAACTCCTGACACGACGATCACAACCAACACAAATGAAAATTCCAAAATAACAACTCTATACTTCAAACTACCATACATCGGACATTACTCACGACACACACAACGCAGACTTACAAACATTATGAAACGCTTCTGTACAGATATTGACATTCGACCAATTTTCACATCATTCAAAATCAAAAACCTTTTTTCATTTAAAGACCCAATCCCTGATTCAATTAAATCTATGGTGGTATATGAATTCAATTGCGCGGGATGTAATTCCCGATATATTGGTGAAACTTCGCGCCATTTGTCCACCAGAATCAGTGAACATATCACAACAGACAAAAACGCTCATATCTACCGACACCTTCTTAAGTCTCACTTATGTAAAGCAAACTATTCACTTTCTTGCTTCAAAATCATCGACACTGCCGACACCTCATTCACTCAAAGAAGCACTCCACATTAACAAAACTAACCCTGACCTCAATGCTCAACTTTTTAAATTCAATACAATATTTTGTTTATAATACGCTCGGACGCTCCCCATTAATTTATCTTATTTCCTTTTTACTGTTGTAATTTATTTATCATATTACTTTTATACAAACCTTGCATCACTTATTATTTCACTCATGCTGAAGATGGCATCATGAGATGGCGAAACATGTCTATTTTCAAAAAACTTGTCGTTTATATTAAATGTAAATTAGCAATAGTGCTTTTACGAAATTATACCAAGCTCTTACTATGTTTGAAGAATTAATTTAGACAGTGCTTCACACACTGTCAACGATAGCGTCAATTAAACATTTTTGTGAATACTTTGTGGTGATTTTGATTATTTCAAGCTTAAAATTCGGGATTGTTAGCGATACTACCAGCACAGAGGCCGTGTAAAGTCGTACTACTTGTAATACGACTGTTGAATTTAAATAGTTGAATTTTAATTAGGTAAATACGTTGTCAATTGGTCTTACTGAAGCAATAGAAATTGTTGCAACAATGGTACTACCGTATGAATGTTTTACACAATGCAGTGTTTGAAATTAAATGAAGATATGATCTTGCACTTTGCTGGACAATTTAAAGGACACATGCAAGCTAGAAGACAACTTTATTTTATTGTAATGCCTATAGCGTGAAAATAAGACGTACCAAGTTTCAAAGTCGTCCGCGAAATATTTAAAAAGATATTTAGGGTTATAATCGGTAAAAACACGATATTAGATAACCATTTCTAAAACGCCGTGAGATTGTTTAAGTCTGGGAACTGGGAAAGAGTGACGTAATAGTTGACATAAACAAGCTTCGTTCTTATATCGTTCTACGACTTGCACGCAATTCTTGCACGGCTTGCTATTACTGTTTTTTATTTAACAAAAATTAATGGATTCTTCTGAAGAAGCCGATTATGATAATGTCGTCAATAACAATGAGGTACAACCTTACATGTTTGAGCCTTTGGCCAACGCGGAAGGTGGTCATAGTAATGACAATTCTTCGTCATCGGAAAGCGAAGATGAATACATTCACAGAATTGGAAATGTTGAATGGATAGTTGCATTTTATTGATGCTTCATTGTTTTTCCCCAAGTAGAAAGAATGTTTTTATCTTTTAGGTGCGAGTGTGGCTTTTGTGTGGTCATGAGTACAGGACGGGAAAGTATATGTTTTTAAGAGGTAAACAACGCTGATCCTCTGATACATGGCGATCATATTTGCATCACACAAGAGGAAGAGTTTGCCACAGTATGTACAAACGAAGCTGTCTTAAAAACAGCTATGGTCGTGTACACACATGACATTGGACCAATGCCTGAGAGTGAAGAAAACGAGTAAATATTACCTTAGAAGTGTAATTACGTGTATGTCGACAAGTGTATAATGCCGATAAGTATCTTAGAAAAAATTTTGTATCGTTCAGAGCATTACGCTACAGGGCCTACCGACAGTGGACGGCTTGGGTGCATGGCAGGTTGGGAAAAAAGTACCGACTACCCATACCTTCTTGTGCTGTGGACAAAATCCGGAAAGCATTTTCCTTCGCCTTCTGGAGAATACAAAGGATTTGAATATGCTCAACACTACTGAATGGTAGGGCTTATGGCGTATGACAAAGTCTGTTCATTTGTAATTATGTTTATTTCATGTGGGACGTTATTTCTTTTTATTTATTAAAGCGAGATTTATGTTGCTCAATCGCTTCAGCTTTGTTGATTTTTGATTTGTGGTGAGTCAATGGGACAGGTATTTCTTTCACATCTGCAGTACAAAACTTCTTTCATCAAGTCCTTAACATATCCTGAAAAGCAAATCATTATTTATGTTGGCTTTGCATTGCACTTTGAGAAAAGGTAAGTTTATTTTTCTGTGCTAACCATAAGTGCTGTCAACTTTCACTGGTTTGATGACCCCTTGTCCTTCTTTTGACTTTGAATAAGCCACTCTCCAAATCAATGCCTCTTCTGTTTGCCCACCATTCTTCGTTTTCTGAGGTTTATTTCCATTCTCATTGAAATGAAGAGCAGCAATAAACAATCTACAAATGAATGTTAAGTTTATGTTTACAACTATTGCAACTTATTGCTTTTGCAATGATGACTTTTTTAAGTAATCATACACTAGTCATAATTATATTACCTTGCTTCCATTGATCTGTAGAAAAAATGGGTATGTTTTGGTGCAAAAAGAATCACCACTCGGTGGAAACCTTCTATGGATGAAGTCTGCTTCTGATAGCTGAGTTTTCCAATATCTCTCATGAGATACTTGGACTCAACAATCGAAGACAGCTCAACATAAGCTTTTGAACCTAAGATCAGAAGTTAGTTAACAAAAAGAAAAAGAATGTTGATGTTACTTTGAAATTTATTTGCTTACAATACCTTTTTTTATCCACATTCTAGGCTCTAACATATCATGTTCACATTTTGGGAATACATCACTATGTCCCTCATGGATGTCACATATATGATTGAGAACTGACAACCACTTTGCCTTGACAAGTTCTTCATCACCATTGCTGGAAGCAGCACACCAGTATACATGGTTGGAAATTGATTGGGCCCAATCCGACAATAATTTGCAACCACTTTTTTTTGATGCTGCCAAAATTTTCTTTTTGATTCCTGTTGGAATTTGATGAAATGTGTAAAAGGTTGGTTTGTTATGACAATCTATACCTTTTGCTACATGCCATACATCAAAGTAGTGCTCGATTTTTGGTCTCTGTTTTGACATGTAGGATTTGATTTGAGCATGTCTGTCTGTGGTCATTGACTTCACCTTCATCCCACTTTCATCAAACTTTGCCAGACATCTTTTTAATCCCTCAAGTTCCATTGCTCCAGAGTTCGTCACTTCATTGGACTGTGTAACATAATTATGTGAGTATTCTAACCATCTTTTATGTACAGTTGTTGAAGAATTGTTACCTGAACAAGTTGTGTGTCTAAAATGTTGTTAGATTCCAAATCCATGCAGCTATATGACCCATACTTGGCACAATATCCAGGCGAATCACATCTTCCATCTCCTTCAAGGTTAATGTGCCTTTCTCTGATTGATTCTAGAAGATGCTTTTGGTTCATATGCCAAACATTTGAAACACTGGGTATCAAATACGCTGTTTGAATATTGCTATATGTGCGCTCCGACAGAAATTGTATGCCTGAGTGACGAAGGAATTGAACAACTTTGCTGGGGCTACTACCACTAAACAAGATGCTGGCAGCAAAGACCAAGTTGCCCAAAAGTCAACATATTTAAGATCATATAAGATATTTAAATATTAAAACAATAAATATTATTATTATTATTATATATATTATCATTAAAATTAATATTGTTATTCACTTCCCTCGTCCGATACTATTTTTTAGGAAATTCATTTTCTTTCAATAAAATATCTTCAAATTTTTTCATAAAATTTTTACTAGATTTATTTTGTAATAAACGAACAAATGCATATCTTGAATAAACATCGACTACACATAACAAATATCGCAAATTATCATTATATCTTGCCAAATCTTTCATTTCAGCTAAATCAATACTCCACAAATCATTTCTTTTCCATACATTTATATTTAATCGATAATATTTTTTCTTTTTCTTTTGATACAAATTATATATATTTTGTTCATTATCTTCTAAATGTTCACCTTTTAATAATCTTGCGGCTTTTTTTATATAATCGTCATTAAATAAATTAGTCTTCTTCTTCGTTCTCCTCATTGCCATCATTTACAATCGTTGGAAGAGGATGGTGATAATCAAGCACTGAAAGAAAAATGTCATTATATATTCTTTCGATTTCATCATTTCCATATTTTTTATAAATTTCTACAAAATCATATTTCTTTCCCATTTTTTCCTCTAAAATTTCATTCATAATTTCGCTATGATAAACAATGCAATCATATATTGAAATATCCAATTTATTAGAAAACTCTTTCAACATATAAATAGCTTCAATATCATTATCAATTTCAATGTCATTACCATTTTCAATATCATTTCCATTTTCATTCATTTTTCTTTTTTTTCTTGATACAGTTTTCGTCTTTTCTTTTTTACTTTTTTTTCTTTAACTTCCTTTACTTTGGTTGCTTTTTTCTTCTCTTCTTCACTTTTTAATAAATCACGACAAGATGCATCAAATTCTCGCAATTTTTGTGATATAGATTTTAAGTCGTCATCTTTTGGGAAATACACTTTGTAAAATTCATCCGCCCAATCAACCATAGAAATATTATTTAGATCGCTTGTTTTGAAACATTCATCCCACTCATTATTATCATCATCAACACAAATAGTTACACTTTCATCAACAGTACGAGATGATTTTTGTGTTTTTAAAATAAGTTTTCCTGATTCACGTTCCAAAATAACACGATTTTCGTTAGATGAAAACAAAACTTCATACAAATCTTCCCCTTCATCTTTATTAGCAATTTTATTCAACACGTTTGCTAATTTTTCACATGCTTGCAAATTCATTTGCAACTCGCCATTACAACACAACCCATCATTGTATGGAGAGTAAACAGATTTTGAAAAATAACATAACTTACTAAAACGATTAAAACTGCATACTTTATTTCCAATGATTGCTTTTCCATTCGTATAACTTTGTAAAACCGTTATTGAATCTCTAAAAGTTTTTTTATAAAGGTTAAACTCTTGAGCCATTTGTTTAAACGTTTCCTTAAATAAACTTATATCGATGTGTTGTTTGAAAGTATATAAAATCAAATGATACAAAACATGAAAAATAAGATGAATATATACCCTACAAAAATCGACAATTTCTTATTTTTTACAAAAAATCAACAATTTTTTACAAAATTATCAACAAATGTTTTCATTAATCCCATTCCATTTTGTTATATTAATATATGGTCCCTTAAAAAATATAATTCTTTACCAATATTTTTTCTATATATTTTGTTCATTTATATAAATATTATTATAGCTCTGAGATATGATTTATATTTTAAAATAAAATTATAAATTTTTTTTTGATCAGTAATTTTCAACTCGTTATTCTTTGATAAAAAGTCAAATATATAATTCTTAGAAAAAATTTTTTTAAAAAATTTTTCGTCGAATTGAAACAAATAAATTCCATTAAAATAACAATGAATTAAATTATTCCCATTCATCACCACCACCAATACAGATAGTTCCTTCTTCTAACAAACACGTATTTTTCATAAGTTTCTGTATCTCCAGAATTTTCTTTTCTTGGTATTTTATCTTTTTCATAAATCCCTCTTCAATAATATAACAGTGATAGCATATATACCATGATAAAATTATTGAAAAAAATAATAATGTAAAAAGAAATGTTATAACCAATTCATCTACAAGAACGTCCATCAAATAAAATCTTTAATTCCTTGATATTTTCTTCCAATATCTTTATCCTGCTATTAAAAAATTCCACTTTCGTTGAATGTATTTCGTTCAATTTAAGAAGAATACAACCAGATATAAGTAAAAGACAAATGTAGGAATCATCCATTTCTCCGTTCTTATTGTTCTTATTGCTCTTTATATATACGCCCAAACATAAATTAAAATAATAAAAATAATACATAATATAAACAAAAAACAATTATAAATAGTATCACAATCATCATGATTATCTTCCATTTTTATTCAATATTTTTTTTCTTTCTTCTTCTATCAATTTCTCTAACTCTATAATTTTATTTTCTTTTTCTTTTATGATAATATCTTGCTCTTTAATCTTGTGGTTAAGAGTTTCAATCTCTACATTCAATTTTTCAACATCTAATTTTAAAGCAGTCACTTCTTGAGATTTTTCCTCAATTGTATCCCGAAAAAATAAAATAAAATCCCTATAAAATTGTTGTTTATTCACATCTGCCATCAATTGAATCGATAGTTATAAAATGTTCATAAGGAAAATTTTTCCAAATAAATTCATGATAAAAATGATCATATTCCAAAACATCGATTCTTGCTTTATATGCTAGATTTAAAGTTATTAATTCACCATTTTGTTTTTCTAATTTTTTTAATCAAGATACTAATAAATGGTTTTGTTCTTGAACCCTTCCACATTTTTCTGCATCATGTTCATAGTTTTGAATACAATGCAATTTTTTTCTTAAAAGTTTATTTTCATTTTGAATATCTTTACAAAATTTTTTAAATGCAACAGGCGTAAAACTTTCGTTGACATCATCCATCTCAAATAAAAAAAATATAATAAAATTTTCTACTTAATACAGTTATGAGTATATATATGTATTAATCAACTACTAGGATATCGTCTTTGTCTTCAAGTTTTTTTAGCAATGTTTTATTTATATCAAGCAATTCATTTTTTTTTCACATAAAGATTTAATTACTATTTTCATTTCTTCAATAGTTAGAAATAATGTTTCTTCTCTTTCCACAAAATCTTTATTCTTTTCTTCAGCAATTCGAAGTCTTTCTTCTAAATCCTTTATCTTTTGTTCTACGATATTTTTTTCCAACACGTAATTTGTGATTTGAACTTGATTACTATAATTTTCGAGCGATATTTCAGCTATAATTTTTTTATCTTTTTCTCTTTCTTTAACAGCTTCAAAATATTCGTCAAAAAAGTATTGATTAGTCTCACGAGATAAATCAAAAAATCTATTCATATACCGCATAATATTCTCACCAAAACTCTCTTCATTATCCATATTTAAAATATTTTTATCTTCTCTAATAATTCCTTCACTGTACTTAAACCATGTCTTTTTTGTTTACAAATCCAAGCGTCCTCTTTATATATACCAGTATTGTCTATAGATTGCATACATATTTTAAAATAATCATATTGTTCATCATTTTTATGGTAAATTCTATAAAATATTCGTTGGTTAAAACACTATCTACAAGTAAAAAGTTCTCATCCATTTTTGTTCATGTCTTCATTTGTTCGTTGATCTTTATACGTGGAATCAGAAAAACCAAAAGGTAGATAAATTTGATTTTTTTCATTTTTCTTGAGTGTATTCACATACATTTGAGAATAACTTCCAACAATATTAGAGAATTTCAAATCCTCTCCATGCCATTTTTTTAAATCATTATATAAATCAGAAGAAACTAACAAAGCGTTTAACAAATCGATATAACCATGAATTAATGAACATAAAGTAACTTCATTTTCTAACACCACTTCTTTTAAAATTTTTTCTCTCTTCTTCTTCCTCGTAAGCTTTATTTATTCTTTCCAAAGTTTCAGGAGGTATAGATGCCATTGATATCTTTATATAAATATACAAACCAAAACTTCATACAACGATACTATTGATATGATTGAATAGTAAATTTTACAACAAATGTTTATAACAACAACCATCCAAGTAAATAAATACTTCGTTATTTACGTTTTTCTTTAAGAACATATCGTGCTCATTTTCTTTATATTTCTTCAAGTCGAAAAACACCTCTTCGTTTTTTTCTTTATTATACCATGGAGTATTTCTTAAATCGTTGTACAATTGTTCATTCTACAAAATATATCTAATAATCCGAATATAATCATGAATAGAAGAAGTCAATTTCTCATTACAGACAATCATATCTTTTAGAAAATCTTTCCTTTTTTTTCAGGTATTTTTTCCCATTCAGAAAGTTATGTTTGCGCTCCTTTTAAATTTTGTTCCATATTATGTTAATAGAGTTAAGAGAAACAGTGAAAAGAACACACATATATAAAATAAAATGAGAAAAAATGAACTAGGTAAAATTTATGAATTTTTAACTGAATTTAATTGTAGTAAATGTATATATATATCTATTTTTTACCAAATAATTATAAATATAAAAGTGAATTATCTTTTAATCAATTTATTATTATCCATATAAATCATATTGAATACAAAAAAAAAATAAATAAAAAAAAATTAAAAAAGAATTTAAAAAATGGAAAAAAGAAAAAAACACTTTATATTATTACAAAACTATATAAACACTGTAATGTAAAATTTTATAATCAAAAATAGATATGGGGTATGAACACATCTATAAACTATACAACAAATTACATTCTAAATATTGTTTTTCCTGTTCATCGCGTCAAAGTCATAAAATTAAGTTAATTTACTTTGGTCATACACCATTATCAAATGAA